AGATAGTTAAATCTAGGTAATTAACAAAGTTTCAGTAGACTGGTAAGAATAAGGTGTCAGACTAGGTAACAGATAAACATCCTGTAGATTGATGTACATGTATAGTTAAATCTAGGTAATTAACAAAGTTTCAGTAGACTGGTAAGAATAAGGTGTCAGACTAGGTAACAGATAAACATCCTGTAGATTAATGTACATGTATAGTTAAATCTAGGTAATTAACAAAGTTTCAGTAGACTGGTAAGAATTAGGTGTCAGACTAGGTAACAGATAAACATCCTGTAGATTAATGTACATGTATAGTTAAATCTAGGTAATTAACAAAGTTTCAGTAGACTGGTAAGAATTAGATGTCGGACTAGGTAACAGATAAACATTGTGTAGATTGATGAATGTGTATAGTTAAACCTAGATAATTATCAAACTTTATGTAGACTGGTAAGTATATGGAATCATCTTCTCACTGTTTTCTCTGCCAACTCAGTGGGGGATTCTAGCTCTTTGTGAGAAGAGTTAAGGTATTGTATTGGCAGTTAACATTTTCTTGAACTGAAAATGTATTTCAAATAGATACTTACTTCTGCTCACATTTTCTACCCATGCTCTCCACTTCTGGTGTCAGTTTTATTTGTACTGTTCCAATCTCAAAGTGATTTCTGGCTGCACGGAAGAGAGGGCCCTAGTAACATTAGGCGTTGTGTTGCACTCCTATAATTGGAAGATTGCTGCATGATCACTTACCGCAGATGTCTCACGTGAATACACTGGAGAGTAGGTGGGAGTATCAAGGCTAGTGGCGAGCAAACATTTCCACATATTTAGGGCAGTATAAGTTGTGAAAAGTTATTTGTAAGCAGTAGTAAGTATCTATCAGAAATACATTTTCAGTTTAGGAGAATGTTAACTTTATTCTTAATTTAATATCTCTTATGGCATGGTTATATTAGAAATAGTTAATCATTTGTTTCTGATATAGAATCATAATATGCCTATCTACTTTAGTTTCAATACGAACTTGTGATTTTCGGTTTTTCAGGGGTTTCTGTCTTTTTTCAGTGCACCCATAGTGGGTGCTTTATCAGATGTCTTTGGCAGGAAGGTATTTTTATTGTTGGCAGTGATTTTCACCTCTTCTCCTATTCCACTTCTGATTTTTAACAAATGGTAAGTTTGTAAGATCGAAAGTGTAGTGAATAATCAGTTATAATAATATTGTATTTAATCAAATTTAGTCAAACATTTTATAACCATTTTTTTAGTAAAAGTTCTAACTTTGTGCATTTGCCATTCACCTTCAAATTCTTTGCCATCACAGTTAATAAACTGTGGGGTTAGATTGCCATCACAGCTAACAAACTGTAGGGTTACACATGTGATCATGTAGGATTTCTTCAAGAACCAGTTTTTTCACATGGTTCAATATATATATAAGGCTTTAACAAGAAGAATATTTGAACATAAAAAAAATGTACACAAGTCAAAATTCTAATCAAAGATCACTTACAGGCGATGACAAAACATAAACAAAAAAATCTTGTTTTTGTAAAATACTGAAAGAGAATCTACATTTTTTATATATATATTGTAACTATAATTTTTAAAGAACATGTTCATAAAAATTTAATTAGATTTAATTTTTGAGGAAATATTAATCAGTATTTACTGTTATATAACAGGCATTCAACTATTTGTTTATGTAAAAAATAATGTATGTTTTAGTGAAGAAAGCCTTTTTTATAATGAGAAACCCTATCAGATATTATATGGATGATACTAATCAGGTATTTGTATAAATAGTTAAAAACAATACTTTTTTGTTCAATATTTAACAAATTAGATATAAAAACAGATGCACCTATTCTCAATCAGAGTGATCCATTCAATAAAAGATTTTATATATATATATATGTATATTAAGATGGATGTGTAGTAAGTGAACAGTGTTTTCATATGTCAAGTCATAATGAGTCTTTTGTTGTTGCATAAAAGGGCTACAGAATTCTATATTTTGTTTTAACATCTGTCTGTAGGTGGTACTTTATAATGATCTCAGTGTCAGGTGTGTTTGCTGTTACCTTTTCTGTTTCATTTGCCTATGTAGCAGATGTTACTGAAGAACAAAAATTAAGTTTTGCTTATGGTTTGGTAAGTTTTAAATTAACATTCTCATGAATGAAGCTTAACATAAATTGAATATAAATCTTATATTGATTAAAACTCATTCTTCTTATGTGTTATCAGAGCTTAAGAATCATGTTGCCTTATTTTCTAATTCATATACACAAAAATATAGACATCTTTCTTCAGTGATAATACATATAAATACATGCACATAATATGGAAATATCTTTGTTTAATGATAATTACTACACACAGTGTAGACATATCTTTGTTTAATGATAATAAATAATTACTACACAAGTATAGACATATCTTTGTTTAATGATAATAGATAATTACTACCCACACTATAGACATATCTTTGTTTAATGATAATAAATAATTACTACACACAGTATATACATGTCTTTGTTTAATGATAATAGATAATTACTACCCACAATACAGACATATCTTTGTTTAATGATAATAGATAATTACCTCACACAATATAGACATATCTTTGTTTAATGATAATAAATAATTACTACACACAGTATAGACATATCTTTGTTTAATGATAATAGATAATTACTACACACAGTATATACATGTCTTTGTTTATTGATAATAACTAATTACCTCACACAGTATATACATATCTTTGTTTAATGATAGTAGATAATTACTACACACAGTATAAACATATCTTTGTTTAATGATAATAGATAATTACTACACACAGTATAAACATATCTTTGTTTAATGATTATAGATAATTACCTCACACAATATAGACATATCTTTGTTTAATGATAATAAATAATTACTACACACAGTATATACATGTCTTTGTTTATTGATAATAAATAATTACTACACACAGTATATACATGTCTTTGTTTAATGATAATAGATAATTACTACACACAGTATAAACATATCTTTGTTTAATGATAATAGATAATTACTACACACAGTATATACATATCTTTGTTTAATGATAATAGATAATTACTACACACAGTATATACATTTCTTTGTTTAATGATAATAAGTAATTACTACACACAGTATAAACATATCTTTGTTT